CCCCACACACACACACCCACCCCCCACCCACACACACACGCACACACCAACACACACGCACGCACACACCACCACACAGCACGACGACACCACACCACACACACCACCAAACACACACACACCGCACGACACCACACCACACACGCACGACACCACACACACACACCAGACACCACACACACACGACGACACTTCACACACACACGCACGACACTCCACACACACCACTACGAACCCCCACACGCCACACGACGCCCCCACACGACGCCCCCACACGACGCCCCCACACGACATCGAACACATGACACCTCTCATACGACACCCTTTACGCACTCACAAGTCACGAATGGAGCCCTCAATGATGTAATTTGTTGAAACGAAGTCTCCTTCGTCCCCTAATAATAATTATTATATTATTATTATTATTATTATTATTATTATTATTATTGCTACAAAATATTTTGGCGAAGAAACATTTTAAATAATACTACCTGTACCTTCAACTTCATTGCCGTGGGGACTTGAATTAATATATACTGGTTAATTTAAAAACTTTAACCCTTGAATATGCCCATCAAAGGCGACAATTTAATTTTACACAGTTTCAGGTTTTCTGCTCTTTAATGATCAGTCTGTTCGCACGCTAAGAAGTGGGGGTACCCAGAAAAGCTACATATTCAAACATGTAATTGACTAATTTTGATTGCTTCGCCCTGCTCCGCTCCGCTTCGCCCTGCTCCTCTCCGCTTCGCCCTGCTCCGCTCCGCTTCGCCCTGCTCCGCTTCGCCCTGCTCCGCTCCGCTTCGCCCTGCTCTTCTTTTCGATGCTATGATCTGGCTTTAACCGCAAATAGCCCTGCTCCTTTACACCGTCCTCGTCCTCTGCTGTTCTCCCTGACCTCACACTACCTGCCTTACCGCCAGGTTGTGCGTGATGTCGACATTTCAAAAAAAATTCCCTTATTACTTGTTACAAAACAGACAAAAAAACATAATTTACACGTTTAAGCATGGAGAACTTACCAGCTTTCAAACAACACCGTGTTTTTTGAGACTGATTATTACATCCCGAAAACAAATGTTCACATATCACGTTTTAGAAATTATATACATGATAAGTATTTTAATTTATCAATATATCGTGCTTCGTGCCTAGCTCTCTTCCTCATTATATTAAAAATGCTATTTTATGTGTATTTGTAATGAACAGATCCAAAACTGGAAAACAGTTGGGCGGTTGAAATGTATCCTAAGGGAACCCACGAAGTGAAAATCTTATAAATGGGTCTTGTAAATAATCTGCTTCTGAACTTTTTACGGAAATAATATTGACACTACCGAATTTTCTATAAACAAATCATTGCAACATCATGAAATTCAAAGACAAGTTAAATTTCCATTCACAAGCTGCATCAAACGAACACTCATTCATCAATGGATGTATCCATGGTACCACGCACGGTCATGTTTCTATACTCATTTCTCATTCGTTATATTCATGACTTAAAATTTTTACTACACTACAATTAACAAAATACCTTTTTTGTTTCCCTTCTTCAGACTGGCCCGCTCGCTTGGGCGTTGTCATGTTCAATTTCCATTCCATTCTATATTGTTCTCTCTCGTCGTTATCGCCATCCATGCGTCTTACATAATCGGTTCTATGTTCAAGTTTGTAGTTTGCATACTAAAAGTTTATCAATTCCACTTAAGAATTACCTTTACGATTTTCTTGTAGATTTTATAACTGTTCAACCTAATCCTTAGTACTTAGTCGCAACAAATTACATTTTAGATTTTAAATTTATATGTCTATGACTCGCATGTACACATTTGCGAGTCCCCAGCTTGCACGAGTGCCTCTTCTCTTCTGACATACACCCGCACCAACACTCGCCTTCAACTGTCTTCTTTTATGTGCAGATGGTCCCCAAAAGGGCCCCATCGTCGGAATCCTGCGCCGACCCATTCACTTGTCATCCATATCTGCCATTTAATTGGCTTTATATGTGGCGATCCTAAATATATTGTTCCTTTCTATTTGTGTGTTTAATGAACCACATTTTCTTCCTCTACACACAAAATTCCTTTACACATGATGCAATTTCCTTGTTCATTGTCACTCTCGTTTACCTTTGCGTTGTTTATTTGCTTAATTTATGCAATAAACTATTTTATTTGTCCTGTCTATGGCTGATTTGTCTTCCATTCTCGCCACTTTTCCTTTTAAGAACAGAAATATTTTTACATGTTTTTGACGTTTTGAGATAATCAGAAATGATTCATCTCAATGTGTGTTCTCTATCGTCAAATATGTTGATTGGTAATAATTTTCACTTAATTTCTTCACATGACACTGGCTTCTTTCCGATGACATCCGCAGTAGATAAGATGCTTAGCTTTATAAACAACGTTTTGATAGCAATAAATCACGGCACTCAACGTAGAAGCGAAAATTACATATGTAGCCTACAAGACGATTCCATTTGCATTGCATTTGTGTACAAATTGCCATTGTTTTTTTGTACAAATTGCGCATGTCAGAAAAATTAAATTACATCCCAATAGCAAATACTGAAGACAAATACTGAAGACAAATACCAATTTTTAGAAAAATGCACGCATGAAGCCGCTAAAGAGACTGTGGGAGAGAATGTAAAATGTGAATATAAACAAAAATACTTGTGGTGGACAGATGATATAAATAACCTGGTCGAAGAAAAGAAAAAGTTATATTTGAGATGGCTTTCCACAAAGAAGTGAAGAAGGCAAAAAATGTATTCTGGGAACAAAAATGTGACAGATTAGACACGTGCATTGGTAACACCAAATCCAGAGAGACATTTTTGTTAAATGTTACATTTCATGAAATTGAATACAACCCAAGAATGGCATTAGGAATTGGTATTGAAAAATGGCAAAACTTTTATGAAAATATTTTGACAGAAAATAGAACAATTTCAGGGAATAAATTATTAACCACTGCACGTAAATTCTATCACACCAAATGTGACTTTGGAAGAGTTAAAAAACGTGTTAAGAAACATGAAAATAATAAGGCACCTGGGCCTGAAGGTATATCCATAGAGCTAGTTAAGCATTTTCCTTTTGTAGGTTTGGAATTAATTACTGAAATATTAAATGTCATTTTAAAAGGAGGTAAAATACTTGAAATATGGAAATTAGCCAATATAAATTTAATTTTCAAAAAAGGTTGTAAAAAAGATTGTAATAATTATAGAGGGATACGTGTGACTTGATCTTTGGTTAGACTGTATGGACGTGTGCTAAAGAATGGAATTGAAATGCAAACATCAGCCTCAGAAGAGCAAAGGCGTTTTAGAACAGGAAGTCCCTGTGTTGGCAATATTTTCTGTCTCAAACAACTGATGGAAAAAACAATTGAACGACGAAGAGAACTTCACATAATTTTCATTGATCTCAAAAAGGTTTATGATAATGTACCAGTAAAATAAGTATGGGGGCAATGGAATAAAAACGAATATCAACAACATGCATAAATGCAGTCAAACATCTTAATAAAGATAACAAAAGTCAAGTAAAAGTGGGAAAATGTCTGTCAGACACCTTCCCAGTACGGCAAGGCTGCTTTATATCTCCAACCCTGTTTAAGACATTCACTCATAAATCCCTTAAAAAATTGAAAAGAAAGTGGAGAAGCTGTGAAAATAGGTGATGAAACATTGTTTAGTCTACTATTTTCAAACTACCAGGTGATAAGTGGCGGCGATGGTGTAATGGTTAGCTGTCGTGGATTTTTAAGGGCTAGAAAATCCTTCGTACTTCTTCGGAGGAGAAGTAAAACCGGCTGTCCCATGTTCGTAAATTTACTTGCGTGTAAAAGATCCTCAAGCCTAAATGACTCCTCTGAGCAAAACATAATTACCTGTTTCGTCGCCCAAGAAATACCTCCGCTAGTTGGTGAAAGGAGCGTAGCGAAATTTGCGTGGTCAGACGGAAGAGGCCTGATGGCTCGAGTCTCGCGACGTAAAATAAGGCATCAATTCAATGACTGAATATGAAGATGATATAAATTACATGTTCAGAAAATTGTTAGATGAGTATGGAAAAATGAATTGAAATAAATGTACAAAATTCGAATATATGAAGGTGTGAGGTGATTTAGAGACTAGTATAAGAATAATTAAAGGTAAAACACAATATAAGTATTTGAGAGTCACTCTAACAGCAGATGGTAGAGACGAACAGGATGTGAAAAATAAAAATATGCAAGAAAAATAGCCACGAGAGTTGAATCCAGTGCTGTGGAATCAAATTATTTTAATTATTTTAATGAAGACAAAGAAACGCATATGTAACTCCTCCATAGAGATTACCACACTCTATGGGGCAGAAGTCTGGACGCTAACAAAAAAATTGAAAGACAAACTTCAATCAACAGAAATGATGTTCTGGCGAAGATGTTGTAAACTTTCTCTGTTAGATAAAATAAATAAAATGAAAGTGCAAACAAATTAACGATCGAAATGAAACAACTAAAATGGTATGGACATATGAGAAGGTTGAAATCGGATAGACTTCCACAAAAAGTTTGGGAGTGGATGCCAAATCGAAGAAGATACAGGGAAAGGCCGTGAAGAACGTGGAACATGGCAATAACTGAAGCCATGGAAAAAGAGAAATGGAGGAAAACGATCTATGCGATAAAGAGGCATTGAAATTGGGATGCGGAAAACAGCCAAGGCAGTAAAAAACCGCTGATAGGTTGCTGAACTACCGGAAGCCACAACTTCAAGAAGACAGGAGTGAAATCATTTTTCAGCAAGATTGAGCTCCATCACATTACCACAGAGAAATCACACCGTACCTTCCATTCTGTTCCCGTTTGGATTGGGCAGAATGTGACCATACCTTGTCCACAGCAATCTCCTGATTTAACGCCTTCGTGGCTTTTGGCTGTGAAGATATGTTAATGACAAGGGGTACATCCTTGCCCTTCCATCAACTATGGATGACCTTGGGCAATGCATCAATGGCCGCTGGCTGAGATAGGTACTGACATACTTTCGTCCGTCTGGGCAGAAATTTCGTACAGATGGGATATCTGCCGTGTTACACAATGAAGTCACATTGAATCTATTTGAAAGAAATTTAATGATCTGTCAATTTTTAAACTGAGAATAAATTATTTAAAGTAAGTAAATCTACTGTATTATTTAAGTTTTTAGGTAACTAATTTAGAATAATCCTTTATAACCCTGTTACGCTGTATAATTCACGATATTAATATTTACATTACCTTATACATTATTGTATTTGTGGGCAGAGAAGCTTGAAATTACTCGTAATAAAGTTTCTTGAAAACACAAAAGTTTTTGTGAAAATGAGGTCAAAAGTGCGCATTTTCAGGAAGGCTCAAACAATATTTTCTCAAAAATGGCTCCAAAGTTTTCAACAAAAAATTGTCTAAAGAATCAGGTTTTACTCTATAATATCCGAAGTCACATTTTAGTGCTACCATTAGGGAACGAAAAATTTAGAAAATTGCAAAAGTTTAATTATTTTGCAAGTTAATTATTTGGCGAGTCTTATCTTGATTCATAACTTTCTGTATACTTCGCAATGAAAACCGAAATAAGTTTATTAACATTTCTATATTACCTTTTCTTCTTTATTAACTCTTCAAGCTTTTCCATTATATTTCAAAACGCTCTATTGAGGGTTATATGAACTTAATCCTTAGAAAGTAACAATTAACATAATTCCTTTCTTTTCAACCGCAATCAACATTTATTGCACGTTACTGTTATCACACAATGATGTTATTTGCTCTCACAGAATTCATATCAATTGTATAGATTTTCGATGCATCAAATCTAGCAGCTTCTCGGCCTTTTTAATCTTCTCTTGTTGCCATTCGAATGAGGCGATCAAATGAGAGGGATTCTGAAGCGATTTCCCTTCTACTATTATGTCTGACGGGTGCAATTAAGCGACTAGTTTATACTAGTGCAATGTAAATTATCGTCGTTGATAGTCTCCTTGTTTGTTTATCATTACTTTAGTATTGTACTTCAATCGTTATTCCGTCCGTTTTGATTCACAACATTTCCGTTGCGCTTCGGGTGTAAGCGTATGCAGAGCAAACGCATTTCATATTCGCAATCATGAATTGATGAATAAGTCCTCTTTGTCACAGTCGAGTTGGCATTCGCGCTGCATCGAAACACGAATGTGACACGTGGGAAGGAGGTAGCAGGCAGCACGTGGCCCGAGCAGAAGAGCGCGATAATTGTATGTCAGGGGAGGTTCAACCGTTAAGCACAAATATGTTTTGCTCGATATAGAAACGCATGCTCCAACGATATATAAGTATGTTATTATTATTATTATATTATAACATATATAAATTAAAAAGTGGAATTTTGCAGGACTTTTTTATTCTAAACGGAGCCACTTACTTCGCAGCCAAGACAATATGTTTACGTCTCATGCTATCTATCTTGTGAATTACTCTTTTGAATTGAAGGGCTCAGAAAAACAAGAGGATATCCCCTTTTGACATGATTCTAAAATATTGATTTACTAGAACTTTCAAAATATAATTCAATACACTTACATTTCAGTCTATACTGTATTTAAATAACTTATTACAGTAAAAGAAAACTATTTAAAGTTTTATTTACAATAACTCAATTCCACAAAAAATGTGTGATCTCTCTTTGTTCTTCTGATCCCTTCAGTTGTTTACTATTAAAATTATAATATTTCCTAACTCTGTACATACTATTTTCTTCGCTTAATTAAAAAATTACGATTTTTTTAGATGTGTCTACTTTCTTGTTCAGTGACCACGAGTCTTTTACTCAGAGATTTTGTTATTTTAATTTTTGTTTTGGAGCGGTAAAATTCGCTTCTCCTTTTAGTTTTTGCAAATGAGAAGAATAATAAGTTATCTTTGCAGTGACCAAGTAGCAGAGGACCTCAGCCACGCGAGTCGTCAGCAAGCAATTGCCATCACCCTGCTGGTAATGGTGCTTGCCATATCTCCAGTTATCATCTTGCTCGTCCGTAACGCCACACACACAATCCAGGTGAGGTCAACGTTGCAATATCAAAAGTAATTTACGTTAATGGTCATAAATGAAAATACATTTTCTTTTGATAACTTTTTGAAATTACACCTGGAAGTATTAGGTTTCCTATTTATCAAATTGTAACATTTTTCATATCAAACCGTGAATCTTATCCAAGAGTTAAAGGGCCACCTCCCAAGTGTTAATAAATAATAATAATAAATAATAATAATAAATAATAATAGTACAAAGTAAATATTTACTTGAAAGGCAGTACGTGATATTCATTAGAAAATAATTTTTCCAGAATTTCAATATTTCGATTTTTCTCCAAATACCAACAAGGAAAAGAAAAATTATGTAATTGCGCCGTTGACATTCTTTAAGACACTTAAAATACAAAGATCTTATTAACGTTGCCTTGCAGACAGCAAGTTCACCGTCCAAGGATAGAATTGCCGTGAGAACACTATTGAGCGAATTCCGGCTATTGCTGTGAACTGGGAATTAATGAAGTATTCTGAATGCGAAACTGGCACTCAAGCGTGGGCGTGCAAAATCTAATTTAAACGAACGGTACGGCTCTTCTCAGAAATAAGACCGTCTTGGAGATGATAACTTGCCTCAGGGATCGCCCCAAGACACCACTTGGGAAACCTGTATTGTGGGTCAGATGAGATACAATGTGCTCTTAATGAATATTTTAGTATTTAATTACACCAATGCAAATTTTTAATTAAGATAAATTGTTAGGAATTCTATAACGTCCAATAAATGATTTCTTTTCAGTTTCGGTCCCACAGTACAATTTTTTTGCATAATGTTCGAATTTCCTTGCAAGCTGCATCTCATGAGAACGTCGCCTGCGCATTTCCGAGACACGAAGCGTCGCTAATAAACTAGGAAGATCTTTTATATCCCCGGAAAGACGCTTTGGAGTTCCTGAAATTTCGTCGAAGAAGACAGTCAGAAATGCATCACGCGTTGGCTCACCAGTCCCATCAATCTCCAAATTTGCGATATTTAGTCATTAACTTAACGCATATCCTCCAGTGGGCATTTTCATATTAAAACTTTGTATGTATGCTAAGCACGTTCATAATAAAAATACATTTTAAACACAATAGATTTTCCTGGAGGGAGCTCATCCTCGAACGTAAGTAGAAACATAAAAATAATCGATTTTTTATACTTGAAATTGTGATATTAATTAAATTTACTAATTATTAGTTGTTAATCAATTAATTAATTGTTAATCAGTTGAACCAAATCGAAGCGAATCATGTTAAGCAGCGAATGTAGTACAGTAACTTACAGTGTTTCAGCTTTATACGTGCCTAACACCTCCACCAAAAGCGTTTTAGGTGCTTAAAATCACCAACAAATTTTATCGAGAATTCTCGAAGAATGTTCCGGAATAATCCGGCAAAATGGTCAGTTTCCTACCAGTAGGCTGAGACGTGGCAAATGTCATCTTACTTACTCTAATCGTGATCCGGAATAGGATTATCCGTTAGTAAGTATCCACAAACACCCTCATATATGCTGGTTACTCATTTTTTATAATTAATGTGTATTGTGCGCATCCTGTTCAACATGAAGTGTTTCTATCTAATCCCCGATAGCCCTTAAACATCATAACCTACACTATTCCTGATTAGTCTACTAGTAAACATGAATAGTTCAGCTCACTGCCAAAGAGTTTATATTTCGCCAGGCCCACCTTGCTCGAAGTTAATACTGTGCGCGTGCGATTCTCTCACGTTTTAACTAGAGGAGTAAAAAATTGCAGTTTTACAGCGCGCTCTAGTTCCTAAACTTTTTGCGAAAAATATTGAAGTAAAAATTCACCTTTCGTGACAAAGTTTGTGCACTTTAATTTTGATTATGAAAGGTTATTTCGATAGATCAAATCTCAACAAATAAGCGAAAAACTAAAAAGGGGCAAGTTTTTAGTATTTCTTGCAATTTTCTTTGTGGAACTAACGTTTCTCGAGATGCCAAACATCAATTTCGAATTCCGTTCTCTGAAAAACTTCTAGATCAGGTGAGAAAAAAGTTTCGAAATTTTTTTCCAGAATTGTCACCTTTTATGCACCAGTTGACTGGATTATAACTTCTATGACAAAGCATAAACTAAGACAAACTTTACGAGACTGATAACAGTTTCGTAACAAGAATAATTAGAACCCAAGTATTCTGATAGTACATGGGTCGTTATTAAAAATAATCAGTTTCGTAACTAATATTATTAGATCGCAAATGTCCTAATTTATTCAAATTAATTGTTTGTGGAAGAACCGTTCTATGGTATTCGTGACGTAATATTTCATTACGATGGTCGACTGGTCATCTAACTCTGTTTATCCACGACACCGACAGTCAGATGTCTTACGAAACGTGTCATAGAGTGCGCCTTAGGTGGCTGACGTCATCAACTGATGTCACTGCAGGGCCTATGACCGGAAGGACCCAGCGTTCGAGAGCAGCAGGATTTTTAATACTGGCTAGGATAACTAGGTGGAAATCAGCTTCTGTATGGAAAAGGATTTCAGCGGCCGGCTGCTCTGATCGGTAGTTTTCCGTGGTTTGTCCGACCAACGTAAGGCGTATTCTGAAGCAGTAGCCTAACAACCGGGCCATGGACCGCGCGCAATCTTCCTTCCCCTTCCCCTTCCTTCTTCTATCCTCTCTGCTTACTTCCACCCACACATGCAGACCACTACTAATACCCGCTTACATACACTACATTATCACATAGAAATTATCCCTATTGGGGCGGTGCCCCAATGTTAAGAAATGCATGTCCTGTCCTTGGGCTCGACAGTCCGATTCGGGCCTTGGCCGGCCTGGAAAATATCTGGTAGGGGAAAAACCTCCCTCCCCGACGTGTAGCTCGACGCCGAATCTCACCATTCAGGGGGATTCTGGAAGATCCCCACCGCCAGGAAAAATCACGACTTCACTTACGGGACTAATGACCTTAATAGTTGCCGCGCCCGGAAACCGAAATCAAGCAGAAGTAAATGGAAGTGAAACGGTCTCATTGATAGAGCACAGTGACACCAGTAGCCTCCTGCGCGTGTGTTTTGGGCGGCAGCGCGCGTTGAGCGGAAGCGCGTGGCTGTTGCAGTCGTTCGCGGCGAAGCTGATGCTGCGCACGCAGGAGCTGCACTCGGAGAAGCACAAGAGCGACAGCCTGCTCTTCCAGATGCTGCCGCCCGCCGTGGTGCGCCAGCTGCGCCTGCAGCGACAGGTGCGCCACTCCCCCGGCCCAGGCCTGCCAACGCACCAATGCACACGCGCCCCACTCCGCAAAATTATTCAGGCGATGAAACAAGCAAACTAGCAGCATCTACTTTCTCGTGGTGATGGGAGCGGTTGCGGAATAGGGCTCCTTCCATGCTACTAACGCTTTAGTGAGGTCTCGGCACAATGGAAACATAAACGAAAACTTATCCTAGAAATGAGTTATTAAGGGAGACCATTCACAACGTCTTGACATAACCATAGACGTAAATCGGTCACAAGCATCAAGCTTTTGCTTTCAAGTTCTATTGCAGGGTCTTTGCGAAGGTCTATTTTATTTTTGTTGACTGCGCTTATGTGCATATCATTATAATATAATACAAATATACTGGTTAATATATAGTGGTTTTCTTATACCGTCGAAATGACAAAACAATCTTAGGCCAATCGAAAGATCAATACTGAAACCAGGAGAGGATCGACTTGGGTCTTCCTTGCACTGAAACGAGTCGCTTTAAAGCACGCGTTTTCTATACAAAAAAATCAATAAAAATGACTTAAGCCCTTCTTGCACCAATCCTCAGATATAAATATTATATGTATCAGTAAATATCGTTATATGTTGTCTGTGATTATGTCATTTCATCATGAAGTGAACAAGTTTGCGAAAAGTGTTTGTGAGAGGGGTGATTTCAAATTAAGAATTTGGGCCATTTTTGTGACTAACTTAACATGACGAATAAAATAATTACGTTGGACGTAAACCTTGTTTATATGACAAAGGAAAGGCGAACGCAAATATAACAGCTACTCGCACTTACGGAAGGCTTAAATAGGAAAGTCGAAGAAAAAGCTAGAAACGAATCGATCAAGTACATTGAATTCTGATTGGTTCAGATGAAACTTACGTTCGTCGCTGTCAATCCTCTTTTTTACGTGTAAATTTTACTGCTAAGTTTAACGCGTAATGTTACGGTTAGGTTTGCATTGTAATTAAGGCCTTATGCATATATTTACGAATTATGTATTTGGCATTTGGGGATCAGAATAATTCGACTCATCCAGCTTGTTCTAGGCCTGGACCCTGTTTTTTTATTTATTAAAAGTATAAAAGAGTAAAGGAGACGTGTAGTGAGCGAGACTAATTCTCATCATCGGACCTAGTTCATTTGGTCTACCTTTCGTCGCACAGCTATAGAAACAGAGATGATTTGTATTAGATAACCACACCTTCATTTTTGCATTCGTATTTTAAATGCGCGATAATAAAAGCAAAGGGGGAAGGGGAACGACAATTTTCAGTAGGTAGTCCTGGCAATGCAGCCATCTTCTGAACTCGTTTTTAACTTCTATGTGACCGTATGTGGAAGTCTGCAAAACGCATAACGAAGCTTACGTGAGTGGCGCCCGGTATCTTTCCAACACATACCCGCTTTCATGCAGCGAGCGCAAGAACCAATGTTTGTCGTGCTTTACCTTTACTTCGTATGCATGAAACAGAATATGCCAACGTGCTCTTGGCGTCAATGTTTCCAAGTTTTCCTCTAATTTCTTATTCCTTTTCTGCAGAAACTAATTCTGTCCCTTTTTTGATATGAGATACTTTTGTAATTCCGTTAGTGTGCTCATAATGATTATATCAATTTTTGATAACGTTGAAAATCAGATGACAAAACAATGCACTCTTCAAAAATTCCATACCAAACTAAATACTTTACTTCTTTGTAAGATCACTAGACCTCGGAATTTTAGGTATGAAAAGTGATATCTTAGCATCTAAATTATGTAACTTCTTTTCAAGATGACTCACAATGTTTTCTTATTTAAACAAACAAAAGTAGTTTGATTAGAATTACAAAGCATGACAAATAGCATCACATGATATTTACATTCGCAAAATGCAGTTTTACCAAGATTTTCTCTTCTGCAGTTGGGCTATTTTGTGATTATTTAAATTACTCTACAGTCTGAAAGAAATCCACTTATGTTGAAGTATTTATATTAATATTTTTTAAACCTTTTTAAACCTTCAATTGTTGGCGGCCAGCAGCTAGTGAATTATTCCGAATCAAAATAGTCTGTACTTTTCGACCTCTGTGTTTACGGGGCAAATTGTTAAAAATACTAAGTTCATTCTCCTCAAAAATTTTCTTTTGAACACTTTTAGGGAAAATATATTAAAAACACCCTTGTAAAATAATTTAGATAATATTAAATGCATTCAACAGACATGATTCTTCGTAATAATAAAATTCTTCAGTTTTTTCTTCAATTCTAATGAAAATACAAAGACCTTAAAATTCGAGGTCTAGTTATTCCAGCTGAAAGGATACAAGTTTAAAATAAAGCTAGTCGTTTGTTTCAGCAGGTACCAGCGGAAAATTTTGAATCTGCCACCATTTTCTTCAGCGACATCGTGGGTTTTACGCAGCTGGCTGCGCTGAGTTCTCCAATGGAAGTGGTCACGATGCTGAACACACTCTACAGGCTGTTTGATTCCAGGATACAGAAGTATGATGTATACAAAGTGGAAACTATTGGTGACGCATACATGGTAGTTTCAGGATTGCCTCAAAGAAACGGTATGATCATTGCATTCCTTGTGCACTTCAATCTGCTAATAATGTCTTGTAGAAATTTGAAACCATTTTAAACCACTGATAATATTTTTTAATTAATTAGTCCCTATTATGTTTGTTTCTTTTTGCTTCCCTTATTTTAGAAAAGTTAACTGTGACTGAAGTTTGATCAGATTTATGTTTTGTCAAAAACGGTAAAAGCTGGATGCGGTGTATGGGCGATAATTATAATCTGTGCATGTTTTTTGGCCTTCAGAATCCCTACATCATTCTTTTAAAATACATAGTAAAATGATTAATAAAGTTACCAACAAAGGGTGGTTGCCAATATTTTAAAGCTAGAAATTTTCGCTCAAGAGGAAGCATACTTCCATATAATTTCTGGGATAGTAGGCAAACAAAGACAGAATAGATTTGATATAACTGCTGATAAAATGAAAACCCATATTTCTCGATCTTAGTCATACCGCAACTAACAATGTCAAGGTTCAACAAAACGAGCGTATAATGAAGAATACATTTAGATCCAATATCAAAAGAAGGACCTATGTCAGTGTTTGCTGAATGGATCAAAAGAAACGAGCCTAAAAACCTTATCAGAATGGGAGCCATTGACTAGACGCAAACGCACAAAAACTTATGTTGAATGTCCTAAACTCAAAGCCAGTTCTTTTGTTCTTCTGTACGAGTGAGAGAGTTATCTTAATATTTTATTTTGACGTTACAACAAATTTAAATTTGTCTGATAATTAGTTATAATAGTTTTATGGTCAGTAATCCCATTTCAATAGACCTTTCAATAGATGCAGATCAAAATCTGACCTATTTTTTCTTACGAAAGATATTCGCTAATTACAAGTGCTGGCAAAAAATTGACTGCCGTCACGTATGGAAAGGTGCTGAAAAAACAAAGAATTTGGTGAGTTTTGGTCGCGCTGTTTTCGCTGACGCCAGTGACAACTCTTGCTACAGCAAACGACTCATAGTGCTGTCATTCCTCGTTAGGATCTCTACTAATCGGCTATGTCTGTCAATTCGCTGGACAGAAAACAATAGTTCATTACGACGGATATTGTGTTCCGGAATACTAATTCCGTTGATTTATTTTGTTTATTCATCAGGTAGTTATTAGGAATTAATCGCAATTAGTACAATCGATTATTTTATACGATTTATAAACACAAATCTTTTTTATTTAGATCGAGTAATCTATACATCAATTAAAAAGTATGATAATAGTTTGAATAGTCCGAAGGCGATGATTATAATAATATAAATCAACCAATCATTGGCTTCCGAGTCGCTCAGATCCGTCTTGTCAAACAAAACATTCATTAATAAAGCAATGTAGTAGGCTTTCACAGCTGATGTATACTAATAAAAATATTGAAAGGACACTGCGTGTACCCATTATCCTCTCAAGATGTCTGCCGAAGTAGCAGACGACACGTTTGTTTACAGAATGTCCGATAGACCACGGCCATCCAACCTGGCAGGTATTTTTAATAGAAATAATAAATGTTATCGATCTAATTCATCAGGTGACCCCAGAATGGATAATGATGAAAACGATGTCTGTTAACTGGGGTGTACTACAAACGCATTCAACTGAACTATTATTCTACATCGATGTGTCTGTATCAAAAATAATAGAAGGCTGGCAAGCAATGTCGCGAGCACACATCGGCATTACACCGAGTTTCTGACTCTCAGAGTCGAAAAACTAGAGCCCGGAAGTCGGCCCTCCGCCGCGGGCGTCGCAGGCTGGTCAAGGGCGTGGGCAAGGTCATTAGCTTAGTGTTTCGTTGTCCTGAATTGGAACTCGGGCACAGGGCCTTGCCACTCTCCAACAAAACCGGGGACAAAGCTCAAGAGTGCTACTCTAGGAAGCGCTTCTGTCGCCAGATACAGCTGCGGGTTAGGCTCGCCCACTTCCGCACATAAAGATTGGCTAATTTGTAAGAAATAGGAAAAGTGTCCTTTACATGTTCAATTATTCATATATAAGAGTCCCTTGAAACAATTGGCGGTATGTTTTGTAACATTAAGGGCCTGCTTGCGACCCGCGAACTCATGCAGCAGCCACGCACGTTTTAAGTATCGTTGGCAACAGTTGGTGTTTTAGTTCCTGTAAGAAGGTGCTGCTGGAGAGCGCGCCCACGTAACGGGAGTTAAACGGCCCCCACTAGTGCCCTCGGCCGACATTCTCTCACAGTAGGCAGGGCTGCACAAACCCCGCGGAAACGACTATTCGCGCCGTGAAGAGTGTGGATTCTTTCTTCAATAACTTCTGTGTGTGACGGCATCTATTTTTCACAGCACACATAAACAACGAATATCTATCTTAATAAAAACGAGGCCAAATTTCTTCCTGTTCCTGTCGAAAGGAGTCTTGTTAGAACAAATCATTCTTCGTTTACGATAACAAATGTGTTCCAATTTCAAAGAAGGTTATTGTACTTTGAATAATAATCACAAATGTGAGAAGGGGAAACAAATATGTTAACTCGACTAATTTTTCATTACAATATACTAGTAACATAAGAACTGTTCCACTGTCCATCATATGCCAATTATTTCTAAATTCTGATTTTACGATTGTTTTGTCGATTTTACATTTGTCGATTTCTACCATGAATGAGCATCAAAGATACTGCTTGACAATTGCATTTCCTTCTACACTATTGCATGAGTGAAGGCAGACGCAATGTTCATATTATTATTAGCAGGAATTTATTTCCAATTTAAATGAACCGTTTTGTGGAGTATGGCAACTCAATACAACGATCATAATGAAATCCTTGTCGGTCTATTTCCCTTTAGAATAAAATTCCCAGTTGGAATATTTTGTAAGAGATTTCCCAAAGTTATATACTGGTAAAACTAATATCCATTTATTTCTAGCGTTTCAATATTATTTCAGCTGCAACCAAACATTTTCTAGAATTCAATTTTCTTCTAGTTCGACAGAAACATTTTCTGTTCACCCTTTTCTCTAATGCCCTTGTCGTAAAAGGATCTCGACTTTAAATGTAATAATGCCCCGTCAACTTCGGTGCGGACCAACCACCATTTGCTTGACGCCGCCCTCTCCCTGCAACTTAAACACAGGCATGTAGAAGCTAAGCACGGTTTTAGATGAAGATTCAAACCGACGCAAGTCATATGTACACCCTGGCCAGGAGTATCAAATGTCCTAGCAATCACGGATAAATCGACATCTGGCATTCAGGAATGAAAAAGAACTTGTTTATATTTTTCGTTTTGTATGTCTACGTCTATGGAAGAAATAAAATTCGCTAGTTAAAGCACAAAGTATCACGTAACAATGAAAATAGTATGAGATTTCCAATTGGGAATTCCTGTGGCAGTTAATGGGTTAATATGTTTTCCTTTTCTCGGCTGGCTCCAAATTACTTGTCTTCGGAGGAAAGCACGTCCACAAAGGAAGAACATTATTATTATTATTATTATTATTATTATTATTATTATTATTATTATTATTATTATTATTATTGGTGGAAGAAAGATCTACAGGGGGTTTCGGATATGACTTTCCAAAAGACCGACGTGCGGTGGGGAGTGCGAGCACGGAACGTTCGTCGCTCGGCGAATAGTAAGCCACCGATTCAGACTACTCGGGATTCGCTGAGCGACGCTCGCTTCGCGCCGAATACTTGGGTGGAATAACGATTAGCTTCTCGGGCTTGTGTACCCAAGTTTGTGGGTTTAATCTCCGTGAATTTATAAAAAATTCGTTTCTTTCGCAAGGGAAGTTAAAACGGCAGTCCCATGTTGTATATTTACTGCATATACAATATTCTCAAGCCTAAAAGCCACTGAGCTAAATTTTAAAAAATCGCATGTGTCGTCGTCCAAGTGATATCTTCTTTCCCCGCGTGATGACGAAATTTGTGTGATCCGACAGAAGAGGCCTGATGGCCTGAGTCTCACCTCGTAAATTGCTACATCATAGAATGGAATATGTGGAGTCGCTTTTGCAATAGGGATGCGATGCCGATGTTTTCAAAACATCGATGTTACTATAAAAATATTGATGTTTTAAACATCAATGTATTAAAGCCGATTTTTTCGATGTTTGGTGCTCGATTTTTTTACGTTTACGATGTTTTTTTCGCGTATGTAAAATCCCCATTATGCCAATTTTGTAAAAATTAAGACATGAAATAATAGCTAATACTACCACTGTCTACTTTTTTGTGCTCGAACCAAACGTACGCGGTTTGTGCTACCTTCATCGTGCAGACTTCTACCCCTCGCCCGAGGTGATCCTAATGCCCTGGTATTGCCTTCGTCTCTTCTGTATTTCGCACATGGAGACGCGTTTCAACTTTGTTTTAAGTTAAACTTTTATTATAAATTAGTATGTATGGCCACTGTCAAAATAAATTTTGTTGTGCACGAATTGAATGTTTGACGTTACTGAACCAACTTCAAAACATGGTTGGTTTTTGTTCAATGTATTATTAAAATTGATGTTTTAATTGAATCGGTTAATTTTAAAACCCCACAGATCAGAAATTGTTCAGTTTTGGGAAAACGAGAAAAAGTCAATAATTAAGTACAAAGAGAACTTTTCTCTGTCTTTTTTTTTTTTTAAATTTCTGATGCATAAATATTGATTCATAATCATATGGAGACATTAATTTCTCTTGAATCAATAGTACAATAGTCGCTGTACTTATTTAAAAGATTATGACTTACGGGATTTCAAAAACTAAGCGAGAATTTTTTTACCCAAACATGTAAATAAATACACTTATAGGTTCGGTTTGTAATTTGACACGTTTATTACAACATATTATGTGAAACTACAATGTGCATCTACATCAAAGATGATTCATATGACATAAACAGTTGCTTAAAATATATATTTCTATGATAGTAGATAGAAGGATTTAAGTGTTGAATATCCCTTTTAACCAATCCCAATCTCTCTGTTAGTGATGTCTGTCATGCACTGTATACATACATGTACAGTGATTTACGTTATTTACACATGGGATGATGCATATATCCTGCAGTTTCTATTTTCCCACAAATGCAAAAAAGAGCGACTTTCGGGGTTTTAAAAATTCCCCTAGTCATTAATGAATACACTGATGTTTTGTGGTGGATGTGGCGTGGGCGCGCGCAGGCAACAAGCACTCCGGGGAGATCGCCACGATGTCGCTGGACCTGCTGCACGCGCTGCGCTGGTACTCCATCCCGCACCGGCCGGCGGAGCGGCTGCAGGTGCGCGTGGGCATCAACACCGGTCCGTGCGTGGCGGGCGTCGTCGGCACCACCATGCCGCGCTACTGCCTCTTCGGCGACACCATCAACACCGCCTCGCGCATGGAGTCCACAAGCGAGGGTATGCGCGCGCGCCGCGCCCTGCCGCCCCACTGCTCAGGGGCCGGCCACGAATCACGTAACGCCAAAGAGGGGGAGGGTAGAAGGCGCGATACTCGGGGGTTAGGCAAGGTGTTAGTTAACTGTAATGTAACATTCATTCATTTTAAAGGTTTTGACATATTGTGAAAAAATTACATTTTTGTCTTATAACAAAATATTATTTACATTTTACAAAAAAATTTTGGGTAATTTGTTACAATAAACGGAAGTCTTTTTCATAATTTTTTATAGAATCTGTAAGAATAATACGAAAATATTCAAAACTCTAGAATCCAGTTAAATTGATGCAGTAGATTTTCGCTCGTGTGTCATCACGACATGTGCACGGCTTGAAACAAAGTTTCACGTCTGTGCGTCCTTCCTTCACGTAGCACTTGTTCCCAATGTTATTGTTACATGTAGTCAGCATCGCCAATTAATTCTGACTTGAATGATCATAAATTTTAAAAAAGAAATAAAAATAACGCAAATTGTTTCTTATGTGATATAATTTATCTTTATTGCTTACTAATGGGGGGGGAGGATGTTTCAAGTGTTACCTAATTATTTTGGGGCAGTTCAAGCGTGCCTTACGGGTGCGCTTCTGGGGGGGAGGGGTATTCAAAGTACTCCGAAATTTGCGTTACGTAATTTCTGGACGGCCCCTTAGTAAGTCGTTTACAGCGGTCTCCCCACCGGGTGTGGGGTCTGGTTCGATCTCCAGTAACTACCACGCTCCCCCTTTCCATCACCTGATGAGGCCTGCGGGCACGTATCCTTGGCGTGTTCTTGCTACACGTCACAAGCGTCGCCCACGGGTGCCATCGGTTCTGTCTGCAGTTAGCGAAATAGGGGAAGACATAACCGCAACTAGGAGGTTCGCACTAAACGTGGCCTCGTCGATGGATTGGTTGATCGAATAATGCGTGCGCGGGGCGCGCAAACTGCTGAGATCATTAGTCCCGTAAGAGTAGAGCGTGTTTTAGGTGGACTGTTCTGGGTGGGGTGATGGGGTAGGAAGTGGCCGTGATCTTCCCCCGCTGGATGCTGCTGAGATGCTGCCGACCTACCGTCGGCTGGCGGGGTCTTCCCAAACCACAGAAACAAGCCGGAACAAGCCCTAAGCTCCCAACCGATCTCCCGTCATGTGCGGCAGTGTATGTTAATGAATGTGTAAGGGGTGAGGATAGGACAAGGAAGATGTAGGAGAGATCGCACGCGGTCCGTGGCCCGTTTGTTAGGGTACTGCTCCGGAATTCGTCTGTGTTGATCGGAGAAACCTCAGAAAACTACCGATCAGAGCAGCCAGCCGTTATAGTTCTCCATCAATTAAATTTGACGTAGCTGACATTCTACGGGACTCGAACCTAGGACCTCCCGGTCAGAGGGACTGCAGTGACATCACTTGATGCACTGCCGTCTCTCCCAGTATGTTTCGGCTCGTAACTTCTAGGTACTAGAGGTAACCAATGCTTAGGAGGGACCGCCTTATGTGGCTCAGGGCAACAACTGATGGTACTGCAGACGTCTGAACGGAGGATTCTATGGTTCGAGTGCCGAAGATGGCAGGACTTTCCACACTAGCTGCGACGACATAGCTAAGTCGAATGCGGCCGCTGTCTGGAGGAGAATTCTAGCGACCGGCTGCTCGAAGCGGAAGTTTACCTTAATAACCATTTCCTTAATTACCGGAGCAGTACCTTAAAAGGGCCTCGGACCGGGCGCGATCTTCCATTCCTCTTCCTTGCCCTATCCTCTCCTTTACTTACACACACAATTTCATGCACTACACTACCTCTCATATCAGTTCTAATAGGAGTGTAGACCTTGTGCCGGCTGGAAAGGTGCCCCGCTGGTGGAAGTTTGGGAATCCCGCAAGCCGGCATGTATGTCGGTGCCTGTTCTCACCATCCAGCAGGGTAAGAACACCGCCACCTCCCGTGATAAAACACGCACTACAGTTACAGGACTAACGAGCAGTTGACGAGCCCAGAAACAACAAACCAGTTCCCCCTTTCCATCTCGTGATGTGGCCTGCGGGCCCTTGTACTCAGAATGTTCTTGCTATACCTTACAAGTATCGGCTTAATCTAGTTAGCAAAAAAGGGGAATACATGTCCGCAATAAGGTAGCGTCAGCTGTGGCCAGGAGATTAGCACTGGTTGACTGATTTTATTTGTGTTTTGTTCAAGTTATTGTTTTGTGAATTTAATTAATTTCTTAAATATTACATTTTAATTTTATCATTACTGGAAGGAAAAGATATTAGACATTAACATTTAGTAATTTGATTAGTTTTATTTTATATTAATAAATGTTGTTTTTGGTTCAATCGAACTTTGAGTTCGTAATTGAATCTTACTGATTAAACTACATCAGTAAGATTGTTGTTGACAATGACACAATGTATATTGTATGAATTATCAGCCCCTCTAAAATTATATTACAGCGCTTAAATATTATATTTCAATAGCTATTTATTTTCAAGCAAATTTTCTTTTAAATTTAATAAAATTGAAAAATATTTCAATATGAAATGTATTAAACAGAAAGAACCATTATGCGAGGATGCTGATGTAGCTTTAATGTTAACTTTAAGTTTGAAACACTGTAATTTGCCAATGTCGTAGGAATAACTAACATATTTCTGTTTAGTAGTTTATTAACAACTGGTAATCACCTAATCTGGAAAGTGTGCCAGGCTTGTTACTGGTTCCGAAATTCCGTATTGAAGCGAGATTTACGCGCCTAGCGCGCTTGGCGAAGTCGTCTCTCAAAGCGTGTAGTTGAAGTAACACGACGAGCTTTCAGTGCGCAATGGCACGATCATCATAGCCCATTGCGGGTGCACATGCTAGAAACGCTCATTGGCTTCGAGCCACGAGCCGCGGCTCCCTGGTGTTCCTGCGCCGGTCGCCTCGGCTTTTGACAGTCATCGAAATCCCACACTCAACGTCCGAGGTGTTGAACGTGAGAAAATCTGTTTATCTATGTAACAACATATATCCTTGACACATGCATTTTGTGTTCAATCAATCGACTCGGAAAGTAAAAAGGACTTGATGAAGCTACACTAACAATATTTCGCATACCCAGTGCGCGAATAACGCTTAATTAGCAATAATGACACTGAATGTCAATGAGTACTCTTGCAAACTGTATTAATGTTTAATGAAAACTACCACATACAAAAATCAATTATACTTATCGTCTCTGACTTACATTCTACCTTCAATTCCATCACTAAAAGCCAATGAAGAATTCGACAAAACCAATTGACTCCCTCGCTTCGCGCCACTCACTACCATCTATTCCCCCAAACTTAGAGAAACTGATACACAACAAAGATATATACATTTGGTCACTGCCCTGAAGAAGCGTGCGATATGACAGGCGAAACGTCGGCCTCTCTGCCAACGACGCGGCGTCACCCGGGCAGCCTAGAAGTCATGAACTCGAGCAGCGGAAGCCTAGTGTACTTATTAAAATCCTACTAAAATCCACTCATTAAAATTTTAAGACGCATTTTGCCAAAATAACATGAGAAATATTTCCAAACAAATTTACTTCCAAACAAAGACCGCCAACGCAATTGATCACACATAATGGAAAATAACTCACAGACTCTTGAATAAAGCAACCGTCATACCAACTCTAATTACTCCGGAACATCCATAGCAATTTCACCTTCTGAAAAATGCAAAGTAGTAGGTGAATTCGTTGCTGCATTCTTCCTGATAATTTATAAATCACGCTTCATAATCATTTCATCCATGAAGAAATCAATCAAACTGCAAGAACGGTTCTAAGATGTCCAAAATTTATTTCACCCATTGTAATATTAAATATCTGACGCTCCCCCTAAGATTCCAGTAGTAGTAATTTAATCTCAACCGACTTCCTTAAACGACTTCTGTCCAAACCAAAATACATATTACAGCAATATTCAATTATTCTCTTCTTCAGGCCTACTTCCCTGATACACATCATCCCTATTCTTAAACCAGAAAAGCCAAAAACAATCCAGTTAGTTATCGCCTAATAAATCTTTAACCCTTCTTAAGAAAATCTTCTTAAGAAAAGATGTGTCATGATTATCTCATATCAATATTATTCGAGCTATATCACCATGCTATTCGAATTTCAATCTTTCTGTCCGCAAACTATCAAATATTAAGACTATTCTTTGATAAACGAAGATTTTTTTATGAGAAAAAACACACGGTATCAGTCTTCCTTGATATAACCAAAGGATTTGACACCGTCTGACACCCAGGAATATTAAACAAACATCATTTTACCGGAAACTCCAATATTTTACATTTATCGAAAACTTTCTCGTAGAACCTTCTTTCTCAGGCCGCCCTGGGGCTTCTTCACCATCATTCACCAAAAGTCAGTCGTGTCTCGAGATCTCTCGCTCTCATGACTTAACCGTCATGCAGCACTAATGAAGTTACAATCCTCTAACTATAATAAATATAAAGTACAAGAAGACTTTCATCATCTCTCTGAGTGTTCTAACTGCATCAAAAAATTACTCATAATAAAAAAGCCACGTAAAAATATTCACGCCCTACAAACCAAATCCTCTCGCATATCAAGGAAAATGTATTACTTAGACAACAAATCCGTTAAGCATCTTGGTTAAGTAACTTAGAAACCAAATATCCTACACCGAATAACTCTGGCCACCCCACGCATTCGCCAATTATACGTCATCAGCCCTTCGATTACATGTTACAGTTCACCTCCACCAATACGACCAGCCCTGGACCCTACTTCTCCTCTCCAGGCCTCGGGCAGCAAAATCCACCATTCTAAAAATTTTACTGAATAAAATTTCTCCGTACCGTTACAAAATCACTCTGGTTTTCATCAAATTTATAATTACATAATGAACTCGGAATGACTCCAATTATTGTCCAATTGTTCTCCTAATCCTCCCGCTTCTATCCCAAAATTCAGGAGATTCCGTAC